AACCTAGATCAACAAAATATAATATCATAAAATGACTCACAACAATGAAGGTAAAATAAATAAGTACAAATAATAATATAAAAAGAGAAATACACAAAAGAGCTTCATTCAGTAGAAAAAAACATGGAGGGTTTAATAAAATGTGACATTATTATTGTGGTTCTAATAAAAATATGTATTAAAAAAAATAATTACGTGGGAAAAATAAATAATTACAGGGTAAATTTAAAAAAAAATAATGCCAGAGTTTATGAATGAATTATTGCCTAATTATTTTTTAATTAAATTAGACACATTTAAGGGCATATTATACATTTAATTCATGTTTGATGTTGGCAGTTTCAGTCCTCCATACGTTTTAAGATTTGTTTTTGCTTTTCCTTTTTTTAAAAAAATTAATATTAAGAGAACAGATTCACAGTTTCTTTTTTGCAAGATCAGTAACCGGCACATACTTGCCAGCCTTGAGACCTCAGAATTAGGGAGACAAAAGGGGGGGGGGGAGTTTGTGTATATATATACTTATCCAAAAAACTTGAATTTTACAGTGTTTATTTATTTTAAATTATTTATTTAAAGTAAGTTAAATGTCACTGTTATTACTGTCCCCCAGCTGGGGCTGTCCAAATGCAGAGGCTGCATCCACCTGATGACCCAGCCTTCGTGGTCACAGTGGGCCGGGTCCTCCAAAAGCCGGGTAGGCCGGAAGTGAGCAACTGTGACGGTCTAGCCTTCAGAATTACGTCACGAGCTCTCTCGGTGGAGTGAAACTGCCGTCTGCTCCTTGCTATCTAAATATAACTGGATGCTTGCGTAAATTCTCGACCATCTCACACTTCTGTTTAGTCAGTTTTGTGTTTGACGTTTATTCAGTTATGTGAAAACCCCAGAGGAAGTTTTATTTAATCTAATCTAATCTACTAACTTTAATCTCAGCCAAACGGATTTACTCAGGAACAAATAAAACACTGAAAAAAAAAGTCAAACAATAACATTTTTAGGTTATCTAAGTGACTTATATATCATGTTTAACCTGAGTAGCGAAAGACCGCAGGGGCTTGAAAACGTGCCGGGAGTTTGCTGTTCTCGCCGGCTCAGTTATTTGACGTTTACACAGCTACATTCTCGCCTGAAAATATGCTAAAAGTTTATTTTGCGACCCAGAAAGAATAATAAGAGTAATATTAAAACTAAGTAGCTGCCGCCATTGTTGGAAACTGGAATTGGCTGGGCTGAGCTATGAATTCTGGGATAGAGTTTTTCATTTTTGTTGTCCAGGTGGAAAATCAGGAGAAATTCGGGAGAATGGTGACTCCGGGAGGGGCACTGAAATTCAGAATTCTCCCGGAAAAATAGGGAGGGTTGGAGTGTATGAACCGGCAGACAGGACAAATCTGCCTCATGTAGCTTTATAACAGCATTTGTACCATAAAAAAAATGAGCACAGTGATATAATATTATAACCCTTTTAACTCAGGATACACTTGTACTGGTCCAAGTTGAGCTGTTTCCAGAGTAAATAACACTTCTATTAAGCTGTTGTTGTGTACCTTATGTATGAAGACAGTGCCACACAAGCCTCTTCTTCCAGCCTTACTTGGTTGGTCAAAGGCGCAGTCTTCCGCAACTATCACCATGTCAACAGCAACACCCTGGTTACGAGCTTGCTCTGCAGCCAATCCAAAGTTAAGGCGGTCACCTGTGTAGTTCTTCACAATGAGAAGGACCCCAGAAGCTCCTGAGTGGGAAGACTGTTGTTAGTTCATTGGATATAAAAAAAAAAAACAAAAAACTTGCAGCAGGTCACAGACAGTATATAAAAGATGGACATAGCTTTTAGGTCTATGTATCTTAAAAGCTGCATTCTCTCTAATGGCCACCAGGGGACAACTGCTTTGGCTGCACAACGAACCCTCTGACCTCAGCAAACACTTTTAGTTATGGCTTTGACTCTCTAGTTTGTGACTGGTGGGTTGCTACCCTATGAACAGCATCCTCGGTTTCTCAGTCAGATACGCACTCACAATTCCAGCTTGCTAACCATTAGTATAAAGTGTGTCTCAGTCTTTTATTTACAGTCTTTGCTCCCTTCTGCCAGATACAGCTGTAGCTGATCTGGGGTTATGACGAGCATCTGTTCTCACCAACATCACTTTGTTGTCCTTATCCTTCTTTTTGGGGCCAGCAGCCTACACCTATTGCAGTGTAACTAGGAGAAGGATTCAGGGTCACCTGTTGCAATCCTAACTCTATGTTTTGCCAAAAAGGAAAGTTTTAAGCCTGATCTTAAAAGAAGAGACAGTGTCTGTCTTCTGCATCCAAACTGAGAGCTGGTTCCACAGAAGAGGGGCCTGAAAGCTGAAGGCTCTGCCTCCCAGTAGTTGCTGCGGGATAGTAATTTATCTGCAGACTAACACAGGTGCTCAGTAACCTTTGATTTTGCACAGGAATATAACTCAAATATAACCAGCTGGCATCCAGTTGAGTCGATTCCACCACTGCCACCCTACTGCAACATGCTGGCAATCTGCATGCACTTATTTGCAAACTGTGAGACTGACTGAAGACAGTCTGAGTCTGTCCATTGCAGACAGGTTACTTCACACCAGGTGGGTGAAGGTGTTGGACCCTCTGTGACTACTTACAAAAATAATGCAATCACCATGGACACAGATTTTTCCTCACTGAAAGGAAGTGGCCACCAAATTTTTATAAGGTGCAGCGTTAACGACGGCAACAGTGCAGCACTGTCACAGGGCGAGATCAGTGAACCATTTTGGCAAAAGGATCAAATGTAAAAGGTCAAACTTCAAATCAAATCAACAGTTAGACTTTTTTTTTTAAAGAGTTGCACCACACTGCACTTTGCAAGCACTGGTTTTATTAAAGAGATAAGATCTGTGATTATATATGCACTACCAACCCTCACAGACACACACACACATGGAAAACTGAAGGACACATTGCCTGCATTGTGCAAGGAGAGAATGGCAGCAAGGACACTGCCAGGAGGCGGCGATGCAAACACTCCTCCTGCAACAGCCGCCGACAGCATCCCTGCTCCGATATAACCTGAGGATACGAGGAGGAGAAATCAGAGCTGAGGTAATCAGAAGCATCTCATGTTCATGTGTAAAGGAATAAAGTCTTACCTGCGTGTGCGGGCTCGTGGCCCGACCCCCCTCCAGAGAGGAGGGCCACTTTTCCCCTGAGGTTTTCAAGGTCAGACCGAAGCACGACCCTGTGGCCCTTTAGCAGAGAGAGGCCCGCGGAGGCCCTGACGAGGCCGAGGAGGGCTTCGTCCACGCAACTCTCTGCTGAGTTGATCAACTTCTTCTGGGGCTGAAATAGAAAGAGATAAAAAATAAAAATGGAAAAAAAAACCCACATAGAATATGTGTTTTTGATCAGCCTCAAAAGACACAACTGAGATGCTGTTTATCCTCATACAAGTTACACGACGAGGCATGCGTGCGCATCTGTGGAAATGCTATTCAAATGTCTTAATGATTGAAGTCCAAGAGTTGCCCTCAGCAGGTGGCACAGACACAGTCAAGCAGATCCACGCCGCCTGTGTTTGTGTGTATGCGCGAGTTAAATTAAAGTTGGCAAAAGCTGCACAATTAAACTAAAAACAAACTAAAGTTTTATTTGCAACAACAGCGCAATTAAAATGCTGAGTTTTCACAGCTTGTTCCCGTTATCGCTGCATGGACTCTGATCCATGTGCAAAGTGCTGCAGGCTCATCCAGCCTAGCGAACCACTGACATTTCATGTTAACACAAATTATCAACCGGACAATCTTCACTCGTATTCAAACAAATCGCTTCAAATTGTCTTTATTCTTCTGTTTTGTTTTGTTTTACCTCCATCTTAACTTTTCTCGCTCCCTCACTCTTCCGACAGCAGGCACAATGAGTAGCGTCAGATCTGAAAGGTTTACTCAGACTGACACCTGCAGTCTGAGTAAGCAAGTATGCCTACAAAATAAAAGCATTGCTCCCCCCTTTTAAAAGCACACATATTGACCGTGGAGTGCAAAAATGCTTAAAAACTGCATTATGTTGGAGATACAGCAAAATTAGACTGAAATTAAATAAAAGAGCTAAAAGATGCGAGGCCAGACTATACTTGTGGTTTTATTTTGAAAATATCAAAGGAAGTCTTGTTTCGGTTTAAGCTCGAGAAAGGACACGGTGGTCACGCCCACCTTTTTGTTTCCGGGAAAATTATTAAAACTTGAGTTTTCAGTTTGTTTCGTTTGTATATAGGCCATTGTCATATATGGATGTTCAAAGGGCTTCACAGGCACAAACACATATTAGGAAATTACATATGAGGTCACTTAGATGTAAAACCCCTCAGAAATAAAGGCATATAGTATAAATAAGTAACACATAAGTTCCTGTGAAATTAGACAAAGCGAAATATGAAATAAAGGAACTTTAAAAAACAAACAATCAAACAATAGAAATGCAAGAAAGAAACAATATCAGAATTAACAGAAGTAAGAGGCCAACACATGATATCACTGAAGAAGATATGCATGTGCATATGTCTGAATCTGCCACATAATAAAATGTGGCTGTAATCAGTTATTATTATTATTATTATTATTATTGTAGTTGTTGTTGTATTTATTAATTTTCATGTGTGAGGAGGAATGGATAAAGTTAAAATGTTTTTGTATTTGGTTCTATTATTATTTTTAGGTTAACGAAAGTGGGCGTACTTACAACTTATACAGTATTTTTTTTTTTTTCAATTTTTCATTGTGGTTTATTGTACAACTTTGTGCACACCTGTAGGAAAAACATCTCAGGGGCTAAAAACCAAATAAGCTTGCAATAGGTCTCTTTGTGACAGCATGATCAGTGCCTCGATCACTTTAATTAAGCCTTATATGTCTTCTTGACTTTAGCCACTTCATTCTCATCAGGAAGTATTTCCCCATATCATTTATACCAATTGTCATCTAAAGTAAAGGATGGGGGTGGTGGTGTGGAGCCCACAGCATCATGGGAATTGGAGTAGTCCTCCCCTAAAAAATCCCACATATGGAATCTGAAAAGGAAGTAAGCCGTGATCTTGTGCTGTGTTAATTGCCTCATTTAGCTTCTTCTGGTGTTTCATACACACCAGTTCGAGTGGAATCCAACACCATTCCAGTGTGGGGACTAATGAATTGCTGCAACAACTTGACATTCTGATGGTGAATGATGATGTTTGGATCACAACAAATTGGGCAGGGGTTTCCACATATGTTGTCACCTCTAATGCAAGTCTTACAAGTCTTATGAGGGGGGATGTCTCCTTTGTGGTTCCTCCTGTAGTCAGTCCACACTGGATTGCTTCCATACCTTTCAATATACTCTTCACTCTCCATGTAATCCTAAGGCCTGTCCTCCGTCCTAAAGCAATGCTGCTTTGCAGTAAGAGTGTCTGGGATGTATAAATAGAGACAAAGAAAGACATGTCCTTGCAGGTAGCCTCTAGAAGGGACTGATACTGATGAACTGAATGTGAAATTGAAGGCGACACACAACATAAAAACATTGCGATGTACTTCATGGAGGTAGCCATTTTCAGATCCTACCTGGATTAGAGGTGAAAGGTCTTATACAGTATATCTTATCGCCATGTTGTCCTACTATAGATCAGGGGTATCAAACATTATAGCCATTATACTCAAATAAATGGCTTCTCTGTAATTTTCACCCTTTTAATGGATCATTTTGGTCAAATAGTAAAATTTTGGTTATTTTTATTGATTTCCTGCAAATTGACTGTTTTACAAAAAAAGTTAAAAAAACAGTCAACACATTATTGTTATTTTTGATTAAGATGCCAAACTGGAGATGAATGCTCAAAACATATTTTTCGATTTTAAATTTTATTTAATGTTGATGACCGTGAGGGGTTTAAAAGGTGCCAACAAATAAAAGTGATTGTTATTATTTATTTATTGTATTGTTATGCTATGTTATGTTTACATAATGCCAACAAAGAGTCTTCAATCTTGAATCAGAAGTAAAACAACATTTAAAAAGGGGAGTAAAAATCTAGTTTATTTTATCAAACCAAGTAGGGGATTGAAAATTCCAGTGCTCAATTTAACCGATTTAAATCGGTGGTTTTAGTTAAAACCGCAAATGTCACTCTTTAAACTCTTTTAACAACATTAACACTCTACAGGTCGCCGCTCCTCATAACACAACGTCCCTTCTTCCCGACAAAGAGGAAAGCTCCGCTCACTCGGGCTGCTCGGTTAAAATATCAAGCCAACCCTGTGGTTCCTCCTGCCGTGACGCACAGATCCCGGCGAGTCTGTTCAGCTCAGCTCGGAACCGTCCGGAGCAACATGCAGGATGGCGAGTTTGGAGACAGCCGCCGAGCACGAACGTATCCTGCGGGAAATCGAGAGCACAGACACCAACTGTATCGGACCGACACTCCGGTAAGTCAGTCCCCACTCCACGGCTGGGGAAGCAGCAGCGTCACTCAGCTTGCGGGAGCCGCGGCTAGCTGGCTGCGACTAGCGCTGATCCAGAGACTCCCGGAGCTTGCTCAAAACTTTAACCCGTCTGCTTCCATTATCGGACAGCTAGCCGGCTAACTTTAGCAAACATTAAAGCTAGCTAATTTGCAGTTTGAACATATAGCGTGTGATCCTGAACAGTCCTGACTGCCGGCTGTCTTTACTGGCTTCACGTTTTCTTCTCAAGGCGGGTTGTTTGGCTTTGTCGCCGAAGTTTCGGCAAGTCGTCCACAGGAATTTCAACAACTTTGGCTAACATTAAGCTAACTGTGCTAATTAATTGACATTCGGCACACACGGGGGCACAAGCCTGTTTTCCCGTGGCCGAACCGTTCGTGTTACCCGTGTGGCTCTGTGAACTTGTCAGGGCAGGGTTAGTAAACTTTTATTCTGTATGGAGGGGGTGAGTGTTTGTGCCCTTTGCTGTTAGCAGCAGCTTTATCAAGGAGTGTCAAGTGCAGCAGCCGTGACAAACCCTGCATGTGTCAATGAATGAAGACAGAGGCTCAGTCCAAACCCTCCCCGAGCAGCAGAGAGGCACGTGCCGATGGTTGTCATGCTTCTTATTGACCGTTTAGTGTCTTTATCAATAATTTAGTAGAAGCTACACTTAAAAGATTGCCTTGCTCCCCTTTTTGTTTTTTGTTTTGGTTTGCTCAATTATATTAGCAGGGAATGGAGGAGGATGCTTCATTTTGCACCTGGAATGGGTACACACTCGTGTTTATCTTCAGCTTTCAGATTAGAGGTGTAAAACACAACGAGAGCATAAGGGACATAGACGTAAGAGCAAAGGGATCTTCTACAAAATGTGGCCTTTGAGTGGCCTCTGTGAAGCAGCTTTGTTCCTGACCAGTGGTGTTTGCCCTGATTGTCCAGAGAGGAAACAGGCAGTGAATGAAGAGGGGAAATGCTGCAGGCTA